CTTTCCTCACCAATCCACAGCAAAGTTGTCCAATAGAAATGTAAATCACCAAGTAATTTTGTTAGCATATTTTAAATAGGCAAATTAATTTTAATAGTATATTTTATTTAACCCCATGTACCCAAAATATTATCCTTTCAACATGTAATCAGTATAAAACAGTTTTTTTGTGCTACTGGGGTTTGAACCTAGGGCCTCATGCATATTAGGCAAGCACTCTACCAGCAAGCTACATCACAATACTTAATTTTTTATTTTTATTTTTAGATAAGGTCTCCACTAAGTTACAGAGGATGGTCTCAAACTCAGTCTTCCTGGGTCAGTCTCCTAAATGGCTGGGATTACCACTCGTTTGTGCTACTATGCGCGGCTAAAACAATTATGAATAAGATAGTTTACTTTTTTTGGACTCAGTCTTCTTTGGAAGTGTCAGTAAGCTGATGAAAAAAACAAGAAACCCAGATAGATCCAGATCGTTTATTACTTATAGAGAACAAAAGCAAGATTAATAGGGTGTCTTGTCCCTGAGTTCTTTGTCCCACAGGATGGCACTCAAAGGGGCCAGATGACATGCAACATGAAAGGTGGGACCTCTTGGTGTTGAGTAATCAATGCTACATTGCAGCTAATGAGTTTTATGGCATACATCTATAACCAGCAGGAGCATAGCCGAAAGGCAGATGAGAAACTGCCTCATAGCAACCTCCCTCCATATAGGGAGTTAAAAGAAACAGTCCTGTAGCCACTTCTCACAAAACTTCCTATCTTCATTTGTCCTGAGATGATCACAGTGTGTTCTTCCAAGACCTGCGTCAGCTCCTAGTTGAGTCTTACCTAAGGGGCCTATGTGGATAGTGCAGGATCATCACGGTCCCAACACCAAGTAGTTTTCCTACAGAAATTCAGTGTGCATTTTATACTCATGGAGTGTCTCACTTTGGTCTAGCCATGTATCAATAGCTACACGTGGCTAGAGGATACCATATCAGAGAGTACAGGTCTATAAGATGCAGAAGTCAGGACCACCAAGCCATAGCAAAAGAAAACTTCATGAGATGTCAGAGTGTATGTGTGCACGTGTGTTTGTGTGCGTGTGCATGCGTGTGTGCATATGGTCACATGTTGGGGTGGAGCGGAGAGTTGAAGCAGCAAAAGCCTTATAATGAGGAAAATGGTGAAACAATTTTCCTGGGCTACATTCAGAAATGGCAGCAAAGGGGATAGAAGGGCACTGAGGCACTTTAGCTTGCCCTTGTCCTTTTCTGTTATTTGCTTTACTCCCTTGCTCCTCAGCAGAGCTTTACCTGCTCTCAGGCTGTACTTATCAGTCAGAGACTATATGAGGGCTCTTCAACCTATCTCACTCCCGAATGCCACTCTCACTGGCCTCAGTCTCTCAAGCGAGATACTTTTTATCTGTTTATGCCCCAGTTCTCTGCCTTCCTTTATCTCGAAAGGCCTTTGTTTCAAAATCTCTTCTTTTCCATTTTTCCCCTAGGTAATTCCTTTCCTCATTCTCTTTGTTCTTATCTTTTAATTTCTGGCTTTCTGAAAAACAACTGTATAGGTCATTTTTCTTAAGCTGTTCTCTAACTTCTGTCCTAATCTTGGCTTCATTTTGTTTGAACGGGCCTATCTCTCTTAGTCCTGCTTCTTCCTTTGCATTTTCCCCAGTATTCCTGCTGTCTTCCTCCTGCCTTCCCAGGATCTCCCCACACTGACCTTCTATTTTTAACACTTGGAAAACTTATGACTTGGATTTTAGCACTAAAAATGGTTCAGAAGCCTGGTGCAGTGGCACACACCTGTAATCCCAGCACTCTGGGAGGCAAAAGAATTGCAAATTTAGTCCCAGCCTGGGCAATTTAGTGACTTAGTGCGACCCTGTCTCAAAATAAAAAAGGGTTGGGGGGGCACTAGTTGTAGGTTCAATACCTAGCACCAAATCAAAAAAGTGCTGCAGAGAATTTGGGAATACATTTTCTGGAGCAGCACTGACATTTCTCAATTGAGACTAGACCTGGGGGGCCGGGAATGTAGCTCAGCAGAGCAGCGCCTGCCTGGCAAGCGCCAGGCCCTGGGTTCGATTCCCGGTACCAAAAAAGAAAAGTGAAAAAAAAAGAGACTAGACCTGGGGCAAGCTGGATTAGTTTCAGAATACCCTCAGGTGCCTCTTGGTGATTAGCATTATCACCTTTGGTTTACAGATGAGGAAATAGAGGCTCTAAGAGATGTGGGGACTTGTTGAAGGAATCACTGGAATTCCACCCTTTTGTTCTTTATACTACTTGATAACTCAATCCAAACATTGGAGCTGTATTTGTATCACTTCTCTATATTTCTCTCCAAATCCCAATGTTGTATGGTTATGTGATGATTTGCTTAGTCCAAAGAGATATTCTAAAAACTCTGGAAGAATGCTCCAGTGCTAACAGTATCTTGTCATTTCCTAATCAAAGTCTAAATGTATCTCCCCAAAATTCATGTTGAAATATCTGCAATGTGATGGTCTTAATAGGTGATGCTTTTGGGAGGTGATTAGGTCATGAGGATTATCCTCATGAATGGAATTAATGCCCTTATAAAAAGCCTAAGAGTATCTGTTTGTCCCTTCTGCTATGTGAGGGTGCAGCAAAAAGGAACCATCTATGAAGCAGACAGAGTCACCAGATACTTCATCTGCTGGCTCCTCAGCTTGGACTTCCCAGCCTCCAGAACTGTGGCCAATAAATTTATGTTGCTTATTAATTACCTAGCAGTCTGAATAGACCAAGACATAGTTTATTGCTTGTTTCCTTTTAGATATGAGTATGCTCATTGTAGACAGTTTAATTTTAATATATTGACAGCAATTAGAGGATGGGCACTTAGCTAAGTGTTAGAGCACTTGCCTACCAAGTAATGTAAAAGGCCTTGGTTGAAACCTCAACATTACAAAACAACAACAACAAAAACAATTGATAGCAATCCACTTAAAAGAAAGAATTTATTTATTGCTTAAGGAATGCAGACTAGAAAACTACAATATAACTAAAAAGAAAAACACTCTAAAACAATCCAGGGTTGTTAAGGAAATCTGCATAGGAATTATAGGTATCTCGTCTTCCTTAAACTTTTTTCTGATGGGGATTAGGATGAAGAGGCTCAGAATCAGGACAACAGCTCTGGAATTTTTCAACTCTCTTCTAGCTGTTCCTTTATTTCATGAATAATAACCAGGCACAGTCCTAAATACTCCACAAATGAGCAAAGACAAACAGCAGCAAGAAATCATCCCTGAGCAAGAAAGCAGCTCTATTACCTGAACAAAAACAGCATATAAACTATTATTAACTGCTCCAAGGTAGGCACTTAAATTCATTGTGACAGGTCCTAGCTCATGACAGAAATGAACTGATTTTTTTTTCTGTGTTGTAGGAAATACTTAATCAGGAGTTTGGAAAAGCTAAAATACATTCAAATCGGGTTATATGACCTGCTAGGCTAGAATGCCTGCCTTTGGCAAGCATGGCTGAATCACCTGATGATATCACAGCAGAAAAGCAATAAATGTAATTCTAAAATTGACAGAGAAAAGCGAAGTTCCATTGTTGAGTGTGTGGGGGTCCTTTAAATCTATTGCTTTTTAAGTACTATTTTTATGTATGAGCTTTGAACATGTTATCTATACAAAAAATGTTAAAAGAACAAATACAATTGAGGCAACTGAAGGGACAAAAACATGCACAATTTTATCCAGTCTTCAGTCTGGATGGTGAATCCAGTTGATATGCCAGGCTGAAAGCTCTCTTCATTTCTGTAGAAAATGGTTCAGCTGTTTCTGTAGGGAAGTGATCTGTAAGGAAGTGCAGAAAAACATGAAAACTTCATCTGAAATCTTAAATTCTAGTACTTCACTTAGGATTTACTTATATGAACCAAAAAGAGTAATTGTCACTTGGCATTTATAAGGCTATTTTAGCTTTAAAATGTTCCAAAGAACAGTGCCCCTCTCAAGAATATATACACAATGCTGTGGCCATGATGTTGTCCTTTTTTTATGCCAAAATTCTAAAAGGAAACCTTAAAATTAAATGTTTTTAAAAACAATATGCTTGCTGTTAAGAATCTATGCTTTGTTGGGCATGGTGGCACATGCATGTAATCCCAGCACTCAGGAGGCTGAGGTAGTGAGACCCTGTCCCTGCCCCCAGCCTGCAATCTATGCTTCTGTGAAGAATAATCAGAGGTCACAGCTCACTGTCAGGATAAGAGTGACTGGTTCACCATAGCCATATTCTAAGTGTCCAAAATAATACAGTACAGTATCTTTTCCCAGAACACTGTTGGGTCTTATACTAAGTCTTCTCTTTTGCTTCTTGCTACATTATGAAACACTTAGAAACTAGGTCAGGGTCATAACCAATCATAACCTGGTGATGTTCTAACTTGTGCTTTCTAAATCAAAAGCCATGGACCTTGTAAGGTATGGGATTTAATTTTTTAAAACTTGAAATAGTAAAGTGAACAATAACATTCTGAGATTATATATATAGATAGATAGATAGAGATATATTATATAGATAATATATATCTATATTATATCTATCTATCTATCTATATTATATATATTGTCTTTCTGACAAATATTTTTTTGAGTATTATTCAATTTAGGTCACTTTACTAGTATGGATTTTCAGTCTATGAAGTTAAAAAGAGACTTATAAAACATTCCTATGCCACACAACACCTACCAAACTCCACCTAGTCAAATGACCATGTGACTGAGCCAGTTTTTCTTCTTTGTAGGCTCTTTCTCCTACCCTCCCCCTAAAGGTATGCTCCTTTTGTTCAAACTATTTGCTGAATAGTCAAGCTGGCTAATTCAGCTAACCTCACATTTTCAGTGATCATTTGTGTGTATGGGCTTCTCTCCAATCTCCTATTTTCAGAAGCACTTCTAACTACAGTCCTCACTGCACCCTCAAAATCCTCTTTCTGTTGTCTTAATTTCAGTTAGTGGGACATTTCCCATTTACCTGGGCATTAGACTACAATTTGATCCTGTTTTTGTCCTATAAATCTGCTATAGTTTAAATCTTGATTGTGTCCAAAGGCTGATATGTGAAAGGCCTGGTCTGTAGTCTGCGGCCCTTTTGGGAGATGAGGGAACCTTTAAGTGGTAGGATCTAGTGGGGAGAATTAGCTCATTTTGGGCATCTCTCAAAATGAAATGTAGGATGCTGGCCTCTTCTCCTCTTTCTCCTTTTTGCTTCTCCACCACATGCCCCCCACCATGATATAATGCTGCTAAAGGCCCAAAATCAAAGAAACCAACTGGCAATAAACTGAAACCTCTAAAACTGTGAACCAAAATAGACCTTTTATCTTGTAATTTGATTATTTGTTATACCAATGGAAAGCTAATACAAAATCCAATCGATTGTTAAGTTCTGGTTCTTTCTATCACCTTTTACTATTCTCTTCCTGTTCTTAATTTTCTCAATATACTATGGCAAAGAAATCTTAAGTTATTCTCTAGGTTGAAAAAAAAAGTTCTGATGGCTCATTATGACCTAAACCAAAAATCTAAACTGTAGTCAGGGATCACTACCTCTGAGCCATTCTATATACTATATTATCATAGAATGCCTTCCTTTCCCTATCTCATTATTAAAGTCCTACCTATATTTTAAGGCCCAAGACAAATACTATTTTCTCCTAAAAACCTTCCCTAATTTCCACAGACAAAAGTGAACTCATTCCTTTAAGTCCCTGATTCTCTCATGCGTTTCTGCCCAACTGAGCTAGACAATATCATAAGCATTTCAAAGCTTACTGAAGAACTTAGCTTCAAGTAGGCAACCAATGAATCTATGTTGAATAAAAGAGCTAACATAAAAGACCCTTAAGCAAATAAAGTTTATAGATACATTTCTATGTTCAAAATGGCACTCCTCAATACTAATTACTGACATAAAAAAATGTTTGGTGAGCACCAAAACAGTCTTGGCATTAACTTTTCACCGGGTTGTTTATAGGCAGTACTTGGTTAAGTGATTTGCTGGGAGGAAGGGAATATATAGAACATAAGAATGCCTTTGAGCCAGCTGTGACGGTGCACCCTGTAATCCTTCTACTCTGGGAGACAGAGGCAGGAGGATCACAAGTTCGAGTCCAGCCTGGGCAACGAAGTGCCTTAGCCCTTTTCTTCCTATTCCACATGGTCAATTATCTCATTAGGATCTTATGTACTATTATAGCTTTTCACACCAGAGAAACTATTCGGTATTTACGGGAACTAGCAGAAAGAATCAACAACTGGGATTTCATCTTATTAAAAAGCTTCTGCACTGCAAAAGAAACCATCAACAGCACTAAAAATATATTTCTTACCTGAGCATTTTTTTGTTTTTCCTGTACTGCAAGATTCTCCAGCACAGACCTTAAATGAGTCTGGAAAACAGATTTATTTATTTATTTATTCTTTTTTAAATGACTTTTTAACATTTTGAATGACATGTGATGATTGTATATACATTTTATTTATTTATTTGGTATTGGGGATCAAACTCTGGACCTTGCACTTGTGAGGCAGGCGGCAGAACCATTGATCTAAATCCCTGGCCCAAAGCAAATTGTTTAAACGATGAGTGCTGAGAAAGGGAGAACCAAGGGAGACAGTGTTTGTCAAGTAATTTGAAATATAAGAAAACTTTAAGTCACTCTTTTTAAAGAGACAGGAGTATAAAAATACCCACTAAATACAATGCCATCCTATTTGATTTTATTCATTCTACACAGTATTTTTTCTTGCCCTAAAATAAATGGTAGGAATATCTTCATGCTACCTATTTCTAATTTAACACAAATCCTTTGGCTGTGACAACCTATTTGAAAGGCTGGCTTGGGGCGGGGTGGGGCGAGGAAGCTGGCTTAGAACCTGGCACTGATTCCTGCTCTATTTCCCCTCACTAGGGCAGAATATTACTGTTCTTTGTTAATGACACATGGAACAATAACCACAATAATACCAATTATCGCTATCTTTCAGAATGTATCAGTATCTATTACCTTTGGTTATTCTAAAGGAAAATACCCACTATGAGTGTAGCTCTATGTCAAGTTGTTCCCCCTTGATAACCACTGCTCTACAGAAAATAAAATCTCACAAAGAATTATCCAGGAATTTGGAATTTCTCTCTGTATATACGCGCAAATTAACACTTCCTCAGAGAGCTCTACCATGGAGAGAATAAATGTGGCTTAAAAATAAATTTTCTTTTTGTTGAAGCTCTTTTTTGTAGTGGTCCTATGCATTCTGAAAATCTGTATTACAGATAAGAAAATAGCTAGACTCCATTCCCTTTAACTTGTCCATACCTACACACTAAAAGCTCATGCCGTTTGCATTTACAAACTGCACTATATGCACTATTCTTCCATATACTTCTATGGGTTGAAGAGTGCCCAAGCATATCCCATCCTGAAACCTCTATTTAAAACAACAGAACAAACTGTAATATCAGTTATACCTTTAACCTACAGTTCAGTCTAGTGATGCACTCAGAACACTGCTGGCTCCTGCTTTTCAACAGAGGTCAGTAGCAACTTATAGAGCCCTTTAAAGGCAACTTATAGAGCCCTTATGCTTGTGTACTTGGAAAATAAGTATTTCAGATAGGCAGACATTCCAGATAACAGAGCCACAACCTGTATTTAGTCTATACCCAGATATTGAGACGTCTAGCTCTTTGTAGTTACAGATTGCACTTTATGCACTATTCTTCCACTCACTTCTATGGATAAACGAGTGCCGAGGAAAATCTGAGCCTGCAAACTTCATTTAAAATAGCACAACAGAACCGTGATATAAGTTAGACTTCTATCTTAGAGTCCGTGCTAGTGAGATGTTCAGAATATTGCTTCCTCCTGCTTTTGTTTTTTTACTGCTTTTTATTCATTTTTATTCGTACATATTTGCCACACATAATGATCACATTCATCATAGAGAATCTGTATCTGTACATAATATCTTAATTATTTTTTCTCCACTCCTCTCCCCTTCAACCCTTCCCATTCCCATTTACAAAGGCTTTGTTTCCATTCTTTCCCTTCCATTCTCTTTTTTTAAATCCCTTTATCTTTCCTTCACTTCCCTCCTCCTCCTCCTTCCCTTGTTCCCCTTCCCATTTGATCATGTTCTTCCTATTTCCCGATATCTATCCTCTCATTTGCTCCTTATTTACCCTTTGGGTTTTTCACACAAGAGAAACAATGTGACATTTAAATTTGTGTGTCTAATTTATTTCACTAAATTATTGAAGTTCTTAAACATGTGTTACCAAAAATAAGCCATAAATAAGAATAAAATTTATTCTTGTTCAAGCATGCATCATAAAATTTAAAATTAATGAATTCCTTACATTTTGGTACAAACAATAGGGTTCAATCTATGCCCTACTATTCACTGTAGACCTTGGCAAATTAAACATCCTTGAGTTTCAATTCTTTATTTATGTAGTGGTGATAGTGACTATATCTGTTTCAGGGATTCAAAGATGAAATGAGATAATGCAGAGCTCTTTCCGTGTCATTTGCAGAGTAAATCCTCAATATTGGCAATTTTTATCCTAAATTATCTGGTCTCTCCCACCAAAAAAGCTTATATTAGACGTTTAAAATTATGCAGGTACAATAAGACAGAACTATCTTTTATTAGAGGCTTGTAAGACGTGTTTAGCTTTATGAGTGAACAAGAATACTGCATAGAGATGACATGAACAGAAACACAAAGATGAGATTTTGAAAGTAATATATCAGGATTTCTTTATACCAACCAAAAGAACTTACCTTGAGGGCCAGGTTTTCCACTTTTCTGATTATATTCTTTTGTCTCTGTGCTTTGTTTTGAATATCTCGGAGCTTTTTCTCCTTGTAACGAATATGTTTCTGAATTTCCATAACTAACAGAGATAGAGAGAGACTTTATGTATCTAAATACAACTTAAACTAATGGACAGGAACTTAAATCAAGTAAAACTCCACATCTGAGCAAGAACTTCTCAAACGCAGCTTTGCATCTTGTGTGTTTCGAGTTAGCCTTTAGCACGGCCAACCACCCGCCCCCATCTATTTCTCTTTTCCTCTGACTTACCTATTAAATTGGCACCTTCCTTTGTTCCATGCTGACGATATTCAGTAATCTTGGCCTGTAGATCCCTTTCTAGAAACTCTTCAAAGCCATCTTCCTCCTCCTCTTCCTCTTCCTCTTCATCGTCGTCCTCGTCATCATCATCATCATCATCATCATCATCATCATCATCATCATCATCCTCGTCCTGCTCTTCATTCTCATCCTCATTATTATGATTGCTACTACTAGAATCACTGAATATCCCTTGAAGCCCATCATACTCTATTGGTTTTAAAAGGAAAGCGAAATTGTCTGAAGCTTTGCAAATGACTCCTATTTCAGAAACAATTATTCTTCTTGCCCACAAATTGACTAGATAACCCGTGAATTTTATAAATCACTTTTCCTAAAGGGAGATTATTCTCTTCATGAAACAAGGACAGGAAATACAAAATGCTAACATTCACTCATGTATTCAATGACCAAGACATTTAGGGAATCTAAGGATTCACAGGAAATTGAATACTAGGGATAGATGGAGGTTAAAATTCCAATCTAAAACTCTTGAAGTATTGGGGGCCAATAGGAGTGAAAAAGGGCAACATCATCTTTTTTCAGTTATTGACCTGTGAGTCTATAGAAAATGATCTTTGACATTCAGTCAATGTCTGCTCCATCTAAACCTCCTGCTCTGCCTTTGCTAAAATATCTGATAAGGTATCACCTTGCTTATAACCACTGGCTCCTGGGGATACTGGAGAACCTGGGATGCAGCCTTGACTTTCTATTTCCTTGGTTTCATCATCAGCAATGACTTCCCATCCTGTAAGGAGGGAGCTGTTAAGGAAAGTGCAGAAGGAAAGGAGAAGGTACGGTTGAATGGGAAGAGGCTGTTTGGCTAAAACTGCTCTTTAATTTAGTAAGACTTTTGGTCATTTGTGTCTATTCCTAGTGTGGAGAAGTGCCTTATGTTGAATTATACAAGTAAACAAACATCTACTGCAGGTATTTGCTGTTCGTAGGTAGAAAGTAACATTTCCAAAAATCTTAAGTTCTACACATTAAAACTGGCACACAAATGCCAGAAATAAAGTTTGTTAGCACATATATATGAAGAAGAACAAACTATATAGAAAATATCTGGTACAAAGGATACGGCCACTGATAGCTTCATTATCAGAGCACAGCAATCTCTTCACTTCCTTTTCCACATCTGGAGAGTCAATGTACTGAAACAAAGCATAAGAAGAAATACCAATGGTGTCCTTTAGCACCCTGTGAATTACAGGAATGCCCTTTTCCTATACACCAACAAGTTCAAATGATTAGGCCTCATTAGTCGCAAATCCAACCAAAGTTCTACTTTAAATAGTGCTATTTATGAAGGAATCTTTAGCTATGGTCTATATTTTATACAGTTTGCTTAGTTTTCCCAATTAAATAACTTGAGACATTTAATCTTTTTTCAGTGTGTAATTCTACAGTAAAAGCCTCTTTGAAAGGTGAAATCCTTGGGTCTCGATTATTATTTGCCATGATTTATATTGACAGAGAACTATCATACCTTGTCAGTTATATAAAAGTAGTTGGATTTTAAGATGTAAATTCCCAGATTGCACTTTCCCGTATCTTTATTATTAGAGATATTCCTACAAAAAACTAGATCTTGGCTCAGCGTTCTCCCTTGAATACAGTTTTAGACAATTAATCTCCACAGCAACCAACTCATCATGCCACAACTCTTAAGTGAAATAAATAAGTCACACACATGTAAATACCAAATAGTTTCTCTGGTGTGAAAAACTAAAAGTGTAAATAAGATCCAAATGGTATAACTGACAATGTGAAATAGGAAGAAAAGGACTAAAGGTGTAGGGGAAGTGGGATGGGTAGGGGAAAGGAAATAAAGGAAAAGAAAAAATATGAGAAAATGAAAAAATGGAAACAAAGTTTTTGTAAATAGGGAAGGGAGGAGGGAATGAAGGGAGGGCAGGGGTATGGGGAAAAAATGAGAACCAAGACCTGTCATGTAAAGGTACAAGATCCCAATGATGAATGTAACTGTACTGTATACCTAAAAAGTACCAATAAACTCAATGAGAAAAAAAAAAGACTTTGAAGGGAAGTGAACCCGGGCTCCCAAGGAATGGCTTTTGAAATAAAATCAGAAAGAAGTAGATTGTAATACACAGAGTAAGTGACGAAATTATATCTTTTCCTCTAGGAATTATTGTACATTAAACAATGAATTCCTTTCTCAGTGAATTAAATCTAGTGTATGTGTGTGGAAGTGAAGGTTGCAGTTGAGAAGAAAGGCTCAGAAGTAACCTTTATAATGTATTTCAATTGTTTGAACCGAATTAGCTATTATATAAAACACACTAAAGGTAAATAATGAAGTTATAGTATAATTGCTCTACCTCAGCAAAGCTGATTTCTTGAATTTGCTAAAAATTAGTGAAATGAAACACAATAAATAATGAAGGTGTTTTATAATTGCTCTACTTTGGTAAAACTCAAAGAGCTCTACAATTATTCTTGACTTAGTTTTATACTCCATAGGCATTCAATAAATGCTGATTGACAGGGCATAAAGTCAAGGCAGCACATATATTGAAAAACTCAAAATAGTAAAAATGTTTACTTTGTTCTCCCCAAATTGATCTGTAATTTTAATATAATTCCTATCAGAAATCCAGCAAAATCTTTGTAGAATAGAGAAGCTTACTTTGAAATTTATATGGAAAAGTACAAGTTCTAGAATGGCTAAAACAGTCTTGACAAAGAAAAATGAAGTAGGAGCAATCTGTCTTATGATTTCAAGACCTACCACACTGTAATATAAGTGGAAAGATTTGACACATGGATCAGTGGAACAGAATAAAGAACTCAGAAACCAGCTCACACAAATATACCCAACTGATTTTTGGTAAAGGTACAAAGACAATACAGTGGCGAAAGTAAAACAAATGGCACTGGAGCAATTGGACATCTTTAAGTAAAAAAAAAAAAAAGGAACCTTGAACTAAGGATTATACTTTTGCAAAATTAATTAAAAATAGACTATAGGCTTAAATATAAAACTTTTTAAAAAAACAGAAAATCTTCAGGAACTGGATGAAGCAAATAATTTTTTTTGGGGGGGGGTTTGAGACAGGGTCTCACTATGTAGTTGAGTCTGACCTGGAACTCACTATGTAGCCCAGGCTGGTCTCGAACTCACAGTGATCCTCCTGCCTCAACCTCCCGAGTGCTGGGATTATAGGTGTGAGCCACCACGCCCAGCCAAGAATTCTTAAATTTAACATACAAAAGAACAAATCCTTAAAAGAAGAAAATTATAAATTGGACCTCATCAAAAGTAAAAACTCTTGCCTTTGAAAGATCCTGTGAACAGGAGGAAAAGACAAGCTATAGACGGGGAGAAGATATTTGCAAACTATCTGACAAACTAGCAGTGTTTAGAATATAAAAAGAACTCTTAAGATTCAACAATAAAATAGATATTTTAGAAAATGAGCAAAAGGCATGAACAATTAACTGAAGTAGATATATAGATATAATACAAGCACATGTTCAATGTCATTAGCTATCAAGGAAATGCAATTAAATATCACAATGAGATCACTACACATTTATCTAGAATATAGTGATATAATGGCTAAAAAAACATAGTAACAATATTTAATGCTACTGAGGAGGTGAATAAATTAAACCACTTATATATTATTGATGGGAATATAAAATGGTACATCCTTCAAAAACAGTATGTCAGTTTCTTATAAAACTAATCATGCAACTACCACACAACTCAGCAATTATAATTCTGGGCATTTATCCCGGAGAAATGAAGACTTATGTTCACTTAAAAACCTATTCACAGCTTTATTTGTAATAGTCAAAAATAAGAAGCAGGGCCGGGGATTTAGCTCAGCAGTTCGGTGGCCTGCTCGCAAGCGCAAGGACCCGAGTTCTATCCCCAGTAATAAAAACAAAAACAAAAACAAGAAGCAACCTAGATGTTCTTTAATGAATGCAGAGTTAAACAACCATTACATTCATACCATGGGATATGACTCCACAATTTTAAAAAGGAGAAAGCTATTGATACAAGCAAAAACTTGTATGCATCTTAAGGGAATTATGCTGAGGAAAAAAGCTAATCTTGGATGTTATATGCTGTCACTTATATGACATCCTAAAAATGACAAATCATAGAGACGTAGAACAGATTAATGATTGCCAGGTATTAAGGAGTAGGAGTCAAAGGAAGGAGGGAAGTATTTTAAAAAGCAGGATAACAGATCTTTGTGGCGATGGAAATACTTAGTATCCTGAGTGTGTAGATGAATACATGAATTTATTTACAGGTGGGACAAAACTGCCTAGACCTAAACACACACAACCACACACACACACACACACACACACACACGATTTGAATATGAGTGGTGAATTGTAATAATGTCAATTTCCTGTTTGTGGTAGTGTTCTATAGTTTTGCAAAATGTTATGATGGGAAAAATGGGGAAAGGGATACATGATATCTTTTGGTCCCCCCTCTTCCCCACACACATTCCAGGTACCAGGGATCAAACTCAGGACCTTGAACTTTCCAGGCAAGTGCAGAGCCACTGAGCTATAACTCTGGCCCATCTTTTAGTTCTTAAACTGCATGTGAATCTATAATCATTTTAAAAATAAAAAGTGTATTTAAAAGAAGAAGCTAAACCATAGTATTTCTATCGTTTGCCCGTTTCTACAAGCCTGAAGTAAGGTTAGGAATATAAGCATAATTCATATTTCTCAGGTTCTAGATGGATTCACATTAAAACTAGATCTTACAATTTAAAACTAAAAGGATGAACAGAAGTTTCAAGTTTATGATCCTTCCAGATCCATAACAATTTGGCCATAACTTCAAAGATCTGGTCTGTTTTTATTCAGTGCTATATCCTCAACCACCAGCAAACACAACGCCTGGCATTTACCTCACACTCAACCAATGTTTATTGAACATAAAAATGAATGAACAAATTAATTCCCAATTGACTTTCTCTCATTCCTTCCCACCCATAATCCATATCATGAGACTAACCTTTTTTTCTTGTGTTTTCCGAAACCTTTTCTTTCTGACATTCTTAAGTGGCGGAGTAACTAAAAATAAATACAACATGGTGAAACATATATGATTGATGGCAGTCGTATATCCATCTGAATTTAATAAGGAGACACTGGCTCATGATATGTCTCCTCCCTTTTAAGAGCATATAAGAGCTAGATGAACCGCTCACAAGAAATTAGGATTCAACAGATAAATATCGTAGGCTACAATGAGCAATGAGCTGGTGACTTACTTCCATGCTTCCAGATATATTTTTTCTCTGTCTCTCTTTCCTTATTCCTGGTTTCACTAGGATCAGTAGAGGATGATCCTTCCAGAGAAGATTGGACGTCACCACTTTCGGCACTGCACACAAGCATCTACATTTAGAAAAGACAAAGAAGCTAATGATGGCCACGAATCTTGAGTTATGATCATTCTTACCACCAGAAATCCTGGCATTTCCCGAAAAAAGTAATATGTAACATACATTCATATCTCCTCATATTTCTTTTTTCCCTCTCCTCCATCTCCTCTCTCTCCTCTCTCCTCTTTCGTCTCTCTCCCAACAACAGTGTATTGACTGAGTTTTTAAGCTACAGCATTTACCACTGCAGGTGGAATATGCTGAAAACATATACAGCTTAACATTTTGATTTATAGAGGAAATAAGAACCAACTCATAGAAAGTTCAGAAGATCCCAGCTGTTCATATTTTTTAATTAATAAAAGTCACTATAAATGGCAAACAGGGAGCATGACAAGCCATTTGGATATAATGTGGTAGTAAAAAGTTAAGAATAAACACTGAACCAGAATGTAACAATTTATTCCTGTGCGATTGATCTGTAAATTAAAAATGGCAGGCAGCCACTCAAGTAGACAGTATCAAAAGAAAGAAAAAAGGAAAGAGGAAGGAATTTGTTGAAGGATGTGAGATCCAGAAAATTAAGAAAGTTCATACCTGGGAAATATCTGCTGTTTTATAAAAGGTTTTTTTATCAAAAGTCTTTAGGCTTCCAACAACACAAGGCAAATCAACCAGCTTAGCAGATAGTGAGACATCTTCTACATTAACCACTGCACGGCATTCATCAGCTAAATAGGAGCAGAGAAGGTAAAAAGTTGACACCTTCCCAAAGAACTTTTGTGTATCTCAGGGTTTGAATAATGAAGACTTTTGTGGGACAGATTAGTCATCCAGTGAAACCTACTATTTCTCATAATGTGAAAACAGTGTCCATGATTAGTAACTTCCCAGAGGAAAAAAAGGGATTATATGGGTCCCTTTTGTCCCAATTCATGTCACCTATTCAAAAGTAGCTAAGTTTCTTAGTAATGCATGTGAATTAAATGTGGGTAAAGCTGTAAATGTTTCATTCTCACCCTAAAAGGCAAATTCCATTCATGTAAACACAATCCTTTTATTAGAAGAATTCAACCATATCTTCATCCATGTATGTCTTCAAAGGAATGGATGAAGGAAGGAGTGGTCCTAGAATGGTGCTAAGTATCAAGGTAAAATCTCTAGTTGGAGCTGGACAAGGTAGCACACACCTATAATCCCAGCACTCTGGGAGGCTGAAGCAGGATAGTCACAAGTTTAAACCCAGCCTAGGCAACTTAGTGACTTAGTGAGACCTAGTCTCAAAATAAAAAATAAAAAGGGACCGGGGATGACACTCAGTGCAAAGGCCTGGATCAAATAAAAGTACTGCAATAAAAGTAAAAAAAAATCCCTAGGTGGCTTCACAATGCTAAAATGCCGTCCAGCACTTGTGTAGTGAACTCTGAATCCTGATCAGATGTCTTAAACATGAATGTCTTTTGACACAGAGGATTCAGGTGTAATCTTCTAATATTAAGCAAATAAGAAAGATGCAGAACCATGTTTAACTCAATACTTTTTGTGTGAGTTAACTTCAAAAACAGGAACTATTTAAAATCTATTATGGCCAGGCGTAGTGGCGCACACCTGTAATCCCAGCACTCGGGAGGCTGAGGCAGGGGGATTGCTTTGAGTTCGAGATCAGCGTGGGCTACATAGTGAGTTCCAGGTCAGTCTCAACTACATAGTGAGACCCTGTCTCAAAATACCAAAAAAATAAAAAATAAAAAAAATCTATTAGGAATCAATTTTTTTCTGCAAGGAAACAAGAAGAAGCAGTTAATATTGATTATCTTTGGAACTGAAGTTGGAGTGCTATGAAGAGAGTTTCATTGTTTTCTTTTGAAGTTCTGTTTTATTTGAATTTTATAACGATGAACTTGTATCACCTTTTATTTTGTAAATGTCAATAAGGGCTAAGTGGTGAAATTATGGGCCACTTTTCTATTTCCTCTTTATATACTTCTCTATATTTTAAAAAATCCAGACCACATGGTGATACACACCTGTAATCCCAGCATTCGGATTCAAGGCCAGCCTAGACTACATGGTGAGACCCTACCTCAAAAAACAAAACAAAACAAAATGAAAAAACACAACAACCAAAACTAAAAAAATCCTACAAATTTTATTTTTGTTTGTTTATTGTGGTGATTTAGGCAGACAGGCCTTATGTAAAAACATTATTATTTTTGCTTTGGGGGCTTTTAAAATTAGTATCACTTTGAATTGACAAGTCATAACTAGATTACATTTAAGAAGTACAATGTGATTTTTTTTTAATCAGGGATTGAACTCAGGTCCTTGCACTTTTGAGGCAGGTGGCAGCATCACTGAGCTAAATCCCTGGCCCAATGTGATGTTTTGTTGTTGTTTGTGACGCAGGGTCTCACTATGTAGTTGAGATTGACATGGAACTCACTATGGAGCCCAGGCTGGTCTCAAACTCAGCAATCCTCCTGCCTCAGCCTCCCAAGTGCTGGGATTACAGGCATGCATCACCATGCCTGGCTTTTCCAATGTGATGTTTTGATACATGTATACAATGTAGAATAACTAAATCAAGTTAATTAACATTCTCATAATTTTTTTACTAATACACTTCAAATTTACTTTCTGAACTGTTTTGAAATATACAATATATTATTATTGATGACAGTCAACCTGCTGTACAAAAGATAACAAAACTTATCCTTCCTGTCTAGCTAAAACATTGTACCCTTGGACCAGCAACTCCTCATTTTCTTGTCCTCCAAACTCTCAGCAGTCTCTGGCAGCCATTATTCTATTCTCTACTATGAATTCAAGTTTTAAAGATTCCATATGTGAGATTGTTTTATTCGTCCTTTTATGCGTGGTTTATTTCCCTTAGCATAATTTTCTCTAGATTCATCCATGTGATCCCAAATGACAGAATTTTATTCCCTTTCAAGACTAAATAATATTCCATTTTGTTATATACCACATTTTCTTTATTCATTTATCCACTTTTGAATACAATGGCTGATTCCATGTCTGGGTTATTAGACACAGGGCTGCAGGAAACAAAGAATTGTGCCTATCCCTTCAAATGTACAATTTGCAAATATAAACGTATTATTTAAAAAAAATGTGTCATTTTTGTAAACAATGAATGGCATACTTGTCAAATCTTTTGACATTCAGAAATCACAGAGCTTGTATATAGATTACCAGCTGTATGAAAATCTCACAGTTGATATCCAAGCTTTTCTTTACGTACACTGTGATAATTACCACAAATTGTATAATTCCTACTTCCATTCCCTTTAAAAAAAAAAGTTGTAAGCAGGTCTGGGGATTTAGCTCAGTGGTTCTGCTACCAGCCTCACAAGCGCAAGGTCCTGAACTCGATCCCCATTACCAAAAAAATAAAATAAAAGATGTAAGTGACTCTAAACTGTGAGTCCATTAAGATAGAGGCCATATTCTATTCTTTTGCACATCTTTAGTACCTAGGTATAGTGGTCAGCATATAGCAATCCTTTAATAAATGATTGTTTAATATATGGATATAAATGGATATTAACTACTTACAAGCTAAGTCAATTTTAATTTTATCCTTCCTGGTGACATGTCGAGAATGTATTATGTTCCTCACAGTAGAAGCATGTTCCTAAAAAGGAGGTAAATTGAAAAATCAAGATTGTCTGTTCAGCATTTAATAGACATATCAAAGAGAGCCCTCCCTTAAATAAAACCTTGTCTCCCAAATATTACCAACAATGCCTGTACCACGAGAAACTGTTGTATACATCAAGTTAGGATGAAGCCAACTCTAATTTCATCTTTTTTTTAGTAGCTACAGTTAGTGCCATCTCTCAGTTCTACACTTCTGCCTCTCACTGATTCTATTTAGCTACAGGCACTAAGGAAAACCTTAGCTACAGTTAACTGGGTATATTAATTAACCTTAATCGGACAAATACCTTTCTGAACCCCATCCATAACATATCTTCCTAAACAATGCTCGAATATAGTTATCAGTTGGGGAAGAGATTCAAACATAATGTTAACATGCACTTTAATAACCTTGCATGGTGATAAATTTGCATGAGATACCATGATGTTCATTTTCACTGTCCCTTTTAAGAACAAAAAGAATTTTAGAAGAGTCTTGGTTATCCAAGTAACGAGCTGTTAGTGTCCATGCAAGTGACCGGACCCATCACTGTCACAGATGTTTGGCCAGAAAGTCAACCCATATAATACGTGGTATGCACAGGAGAAAAGCAATTGTGCTAAAAGGACATATACTAGAATAGGACTGCTTAATAGAACATGATTGCTGAAAACAAATGTTCTGAATTTTTATAGCTTGAAAAAGAAATGTTATAGAATCAAAGCAGAAGTATACTTTTGTGATACACAAAAGTTTCTTACCGGAGGCAGACGCAATATAAACTGGTTTTCAATTTCAAGAGGAAGTTTATCCTGGCTTTTACTCATGTCTTGTTTTGGAGTTCATGAAAACAAAAAGAAAACCAAGTTACTAAAAAACCCTCTTCCTCCCTCTGCTGACCACTTCTGGTAGTCCTGGTTAAATTACTGCACAAGATCACAGTCTTCATTGTAATGATATGCATACAGTTTAACAAATCTTACTTGATGTATCTTGATTATTTCTAAAAGTCACGTTATATCTTTGCTAATACGTACAGATTTTCCAAAGTCATTACAAAATACATGATGTAATTTGATAAATAATGAACTAAGAGCTAATATGAAAAATGATTTAGTCGTAATGATATTCTTAGATTCTCATGTAAAGAAGTAAAATTCAACTCACGGTGGTGGCAACCTAAGCAAACTAAATGACTTCTTCAGGGAAGAGTGCAAACCAAAGGCAGAAGTCACCAAGAAACCACTTGTAGAAATGTTCTATGATGACTTGACATAAACAAAAAGTTTAATTTTCAATATTTCATTCACCTTAAGGAACTGATGGGAATTTAGAAGTCCATGGGAGAGAAAGCAGCTTTTTATGACTCTAACAGGCACATCCAACCTGCAGACTGCCATTTTTCCTCATTTTTTGAGTGAAAGGGAATTGTCTTGAGCTGCATACAAAATATATAGTATAGCTGATGTATATAAGTAATAAAATGTCCTTTTAAAAATATTTTATTATAACATTTTAAAATGGTGGACTGAGTGGGTCATAGGTTAGAGCTGGCATCAACAGCTCTGAGCTACCCTGGAGAAAAATTAGGAGTCCAGATTCTTAAAGCTAGACTGTGTGTATGATTGCATCTAACTTCATGGAATAATTGCATTTCTAAAATGGTGATACTAAGTATTTGATTTGATTTATTTATTACTGACATTTTTTGGCATTTGTTCTATGTACTTCACACTACGCTGAGTGCTTTAGGCCTATTATTTAATTTAATCCTCAAATGACTACTTATTTGAAATACCCCTACAAGCTATTTAAAATGACTTTCAGAAGGATCCTTTTATTTTGAAAAAATACACCTTCATAAAAATGAATCATCCTCATTCAAGTTAGTAGGGTTTTTTGACAATATAATCACATATAATGATATAGTGATATTATGATATACGTATACAGTGTGAGATGTTGCATCAAGCTAACATATCACCTTAACTACTCATAGTTTTTTACTCCTAAGTGCAACTGCCTACCTTTTGACCAATATCTCCACATCCCCCACACTCACCAGCCTCTAGTAACTACCACTCTATTCTTTGCTTCTATTAGTCTATTTTATTTTCCACATATCCAAATGAGAACATGTGGTTTTTTACTTTTTGTGCCTGGCTTATTTAACTTAGCATAATGTCCTCCAGATTCACCCATGTTACAAATGACAAAACTGTGTTTTGTTTTGTTTTGTTTTTGTACCGGGGATCGAACTCAGGTCCTTATGCTTGTGAAGCAGGTGGTGAAAACTGTGTTTTTTAAAAGACTGAATAGTATTCTACTGTGTATATATACCATGTTTTCTTTATCCATTTATCCACTGAAGGAATCTTAGGCTGGATCTGTAAGTTGGTTATTGCAAATAATGTTGCAATGAACATGTGAGTGCAGTTATCTTTTTTTTTTTTTTGAGACAGGGTCTAACTACGTAGTTGAGATGAGTGCAGTTATCTCTTTGACATACTGATTTCAAGCCCTGAAGTGGGATTGAAAGATCCTCCCAAGTTAATCTTTATTTATAATCTTATTTTCCATTCATTTAGGATGTATCTGTAGTGACTTGCATTTTAGGTATTGGGGCTCACCCTTCTGAGGAAGATTTTTTGTCAAAAATTGAAAACAATGTACATATATGAACCTTGAGAAAGGTTTCCTATGTCCTAAAAACATTATGATATTCACCAAGTTATAAGATCTTGTACCTAAAGTTAAAGTGAAAATTTCAGTTAATGCATAGTCTTTAATGTTTCTTAAACCATTAACTAAGATCTGAGTTTTGAACCCGAATCTCACCTAAAAGCACTGGTTCTTCTTTTAACACAGAAGTGGGTCTGGGACTCTAGTAAGGTGAAATTATTCAGTAGTTATGAAATAAATCTTTCAGTATAACTTTAGAAAGTATCAGAAAGGTATAGAAAGCACAAAGAAGTTAGCAGTGGAAGACATGCAAGATGTAGGTGGTGGATACATTATTTGTGATAGTAATTTCTTTTCTTTTTGCTTCTAAAGAAGTAAGTATACATATGCAAATATAAAAATGAAAAGTACATATAATAAAAAGTTAAAGTAAATGAAATAAAGAATCTTGGGGCTGGTCACATCGCCTAACAGGAGAAAGTAGGAGACACTAAGTTGGGAGCAGCAGCACAGATTATCTGAAGAAGGAGCGGCTAAGCAAGATTTTATCAGATCAATAGTAACTTTTAGACTTCTCAGCAGGACTAAGACGAGGGCATTTTGTTCATTTCGTTGCCTTTCTGGCAACTCCTCTTTTATAGAAGAAAGAACTTAAAGAACGGAAACTATTTCAAAGAAGTTCCTTGTAAATCACGAGTATAAAAGGTCTGGTGAAAAAGAGGGTGGAAATCCTGGTTGAAATGACTTTTAATTATTTTTAAATTTTGTTACCTACATATATCCGAAGGACTGTACGGTATTTACTGTAAGAAAAACACACTTTTCCCCAGCAAGCACTATGGTTGAAGCCTAATTAAATGAACAGAACCGCTCTCCACCGTTCAACCTTAAGGCCATCTCACTTTAGCAGAATTACAATTGGAATTAACTAGCAGCAAGCTCCAGGTAGCCTAAGTCAGCATAAACCGAGGTTAGTGTTTGTTTCAAGTTCATAGCTGCGGGCTGCAGTTTGGAGGCAGTAACCAAGTCGTTATCGCTGGGTAACTAAACTTCCAAGGGAAAAATTCCGCTGCTAAAGCTTTATCCCATTTCCCTAGAAAATCTCCTGCGGGGCCAAACAGCCCCAGCCTTCGCACCTCGCAGTGCAGGCGGGCTGAGGAGGGCAGCGAGGCGCGCTGCCCCGCTGAGCCCCGCCGATCTGCAGACTTACCCGGTCCGGAGCTAACTCGCTCCAGAAAGACTTCGGGTCCTGCGTCT